AAATTAAGAAAACAATTCCATTGACAATTGCATCAAAAAAATAATAAAGTACATAGGAATAAATTTTACCAAGGAGCTGAAAGATCTGTACACTGAAAACTATAAAACATGGATGAAATAAATTGAAGATACAAGTAAATGGAAAGATTCTGTGCTCATGGATTGGAAGAATTAATATTGTTAAGATGTCCACACTACCCAAAGCAATCTACAGAGTCAGCGCAATTCCTATCAGAATTCCGATGGCGTTTTTCACAAAAATAGAACAAACAATCCTAAAATTTGTGTGGAAACCACCAAAGACCCTGAATAGCCAAAACAATCTTGAGAAAGAACAAAGCTGTAGGCATCATGCTTCCTGACTTCCAACTGACAAGGGGTTAACATCCAAAATCTATAAAGAATTCATAAAACTCAGCAGCAAAAATAAAATTAATTTTAAAATGGGCAGAAGAACTGAAGAGACATTTTTCCAAAGAAGACAAACAGATGGTCAACAGGCACATGAAAGGGTGCTCAATGTCACTAATCGTCAGGGAAATACAAATCAAAACCACCATGAGATATCACCTCACACCTGCCAGAATGTCTATCATCAAAAAGACAAGTAGTAACAAGTGTTGGCAAGAATCTGGAGGGACGGGACCCCTCGTACATTTGATGGCAATATAAATTGGTACAGTCACTGTGGAAACAATATGGAGCTTCCTCAAAAAATTAAAATAGACCTACCATATGATCCAGCAAGTCCACTGATAAGTATATATCCAAAGGAAATTAAATAGGATCTCAAAGAAGTATCTGCACTCCTATGTTCATTGCAGCATTATTCACAATAGCCAAGATATGGAAACTAAGTGCCCATCAACAGATGAATGAAGAAAGAAAATACGGTGTATATACACATGGAATATTATTAAGCCATGAGAAAGAAGGAAGTCCTGACATTTGTGACCACATAGATGAATCCTGAGGGCATTATGCTAAGTAAAATAAGATAAACAAAGAAAAACAAATACTGATGGCACCACTGATCTATAGAGTCTGAAAAAAAAAAGAAAAGAAAAGCAAAATTCATAGGAACAGAGAGTAGAGAAGAGGTTGCCAAGGGCTGGAGGCAAGATAGAAACAGGAGAGGTTGTTAAAAGGGTACAAACTCAGCTGTAAGATGAAAAAGTTCTGAGGATCTAATATAAAACATGGTGACTGTAGTTAATAACACTGTGTTGTGTAATTGAAATTTGCTGTGAGTAGAATGTAAACATTCTCACCAAAACAAACAGACCCTCTGCATTTAAAAAAGATCCCCAGGTATGTCTTATGCCCTCTGATGTTTGAAGAACACTGCTGTATACCATTCTGTTCTTTCCCCTGCACTTTTCACAGTCATGCAGTGAGTCAGAAGGAGAGAATATCGTGATTTGAGACATTTTCACCAAGTAGAGAGTTGATTTGTTCCTTTAAGGCTGGACAGGATTTGGATGGGTAGGCGTGAGCTGGGACAGAGTTCCAGCGAGATAAGATGGTTTATGCAAAGAAAAAAAAAAAGCAAATGTGAGCAGAGATTAGACAGCTTTTTCTGAAGTCAAGGCTTCATGAAGGGGAGTAGTAGTGATAAAGCTGGAAAAACCCTGAAGAAGCAGCCAAGGTATTTTCTCGGGAGTGCAGTGTTTTCTCTAACTTGTTCATGATGAAATTTTGATATATTTCATTCCGTCATCCCCAAAAGAAACAATTTTTAAGAAAGAAAATGACTCTACCTTTGACACACATTATAACAATCACAACTACCAGCCCATCTGCCCATGAGAAAACCAAGCTGTTGAAATAAATTCGATCTGCCGTTGCCAAATCTTTGTTATTGTTTATTTGCTGCTTGTTCATTCAGTTTGTCACCTGCTAATGCTAGCAGATAAAAGTTTGGATCCTGACTAGGATGGAAAAACAAATATGGGGGGGGGGACCTTACAAATTGAGGAAACTCTACCCATTACATATTCTTTTCTCTATGAACTGGGAAAAGGTCAAGGTTATTTGATATGCGGGCAGACCACCTTAGTTCAGCCCATGGAACATCAGACTTCCTGGGGAATGTGGATTAAGTCGCACTGTGAACCGTGGGAAGCAAGGCCCCCAAAAGATCAATGTGAGCTTTTAGGCTGATTACTCTGGTAACTGTATACCTGATGGGTTGTGGAAGGGAGCAACCAAAGACAGGAAGACCAGTTAGGAGAGTACAGCAGTAATCCAGACGTGAGATGGAGTAACAGGACCTTCTATTTACACTGCTTTATGTTATACACATTCTTTTCACAGGCAAGTCCTTACAACGATTATGTGAGGAAGTGTCATTTTAAAAAAAAGTGAAAGTTTAATTTAAAAGGTGGCTATTTGAGAGATATTAAAAAAAAAAAAGACAGAACTTGGTGAGTGGTAGGGTGGTGCGGAAAGAGGCAGAAGGGAAGGGAGGAATCAAAGATGATCCCAAACTTTTTGACCTTGGGCACTTGGCTGCTATGAACAGAAGCCTAGAGAAAAAGCTAATGGGGAGGAGGGGAGTTATAACAATAAATTTTCTTTTTCTTTTTCCTTTGAAATAATTTCAAACTTAGAGAAAAGGTATACCAAAAGAATAGTATAAAATAACTACCACATTCCCGTTGCCCAGATTCACTCAACTTCCACTTTTTGTCTCAGAAACGCCTTTTTTAGCAAAATGATCCAACACAGAATTACACAGTGCACTCAGCAGTCACGTTTGTCAAATCTCTTTCCATCTAGAGAAACCGTGATTTTCCTTTACTTTAAAGGCCATGAGTTTTTAGGATATTACAGGCCATTTTGTAGGCTTGTCTCTCAGTGTAGCTTTGTCCAATGTTTCCTCATGATTAGACTCAGGTGACGCATCTCTGACCAGACTGTCACAGAAGTGACCCTGTTCTCATTGGCATCAGGCAAAGTGATTTATCTCATTACTTGTGGTGTTAACTTTCACGATTTGATTAAGACTGTATCTACCAGTTTTCTCCATGGTGTAAAGTGACTCGCCCCTCCCTATCTAATTACTGAAAACTCATTGTGCAGAGATGCTTTGAAAGCCTGCTGGCAAGCCTGGCTGCCGAACAGTACCACCTGCGTAGTTGTACTGGGTCCTGCACTTAGAAGGGTCCCAGGTTTGGTTTACTTTTTTGCTCAGTTCCCAGAAAGGAGGAGGGAAGGAAGGGGCAAAGAGGCATACATTCAATTTTTGACTTGTAACATTTGAGTGGCCAGAATATCTAAGGGTTAGCAAAGCATGAGTAGGGATTGGGAAGGAAATCTGGTCTGGAGATAAAGGCTGGGGCAACACGCGCACAAAGGTGGTGCCTGACGCGGGGAGAATAATCTCTCCAAGGAAATTAGAAAAAGAGGAACTGAGGACCTAACCTTTGGGGACAGGCACCGATGCGGTATAGAAGGAGAAAGGAGGCCAGCAAAGGACCTAGACGAAGGCATCAAAGAGGGAGGGAAATCCAATGGTGCAGCGTTACAGAAACCAAAGGAAAAGAGGGTTTTAGAAGGGAAAGAGTACTCAGCCATGTTAGCACTGCAAAGAAGTTAAAGGAGACCGCTGACCGGGGAAAGAGCCCTAGTTCTCAAAACTAGGCACAGTAAGGAGATTGCTTGTTCTTGTATGCATTCAACACACATTGGTGGGCGGCGGGGCGGGAGGGTGATTAGGGCTTAGGTTTGAGGATAGAAAGAGTGCTGGCAAGATCGGCTTCTTCGGTGGACAACTCTAAGGCTGTGCACTTTGAAGAATCGCAGGCTTTGTTTAATGATCTCGAAATTCTTAACTACTGAGCAAGAGGTTCTGCATTTTCGTTTTGCACGGGACCCGGCAAATTACATAGTTGGTCCTGAGTGGCGGACAAGTGTAAACTATTCTTGCCTTTGGGAGTATTTGTCGGTGACAGAGAGAGGGCAGTATCTTGTCCCAAGGGGCAAAGCGCAGGTGAAATTTCTCTTAGCCTTGGCCATGTGTGTTGGCAGTGGGTACTGGACGGTGGGAGGAGATCATCGAAGCTGGGGAGTGCGGGTGGATTTACCGAAGAGGCGAACGGTGGGTTCAAGGCCTTAGGGGCGGCAGACTTAGCCTTGGACAGGCCTTGGGATTGGAGGAATGTCGAGACAGAAAGACAGCCGAGGCCATGAAGGTGAGGGGACAGGCCAAAGACAAGCCAAGCGCCGATCTGGGGCCTTGGACTGAGCCGGCCGCAACGATCGGGCTGGTGGAGAGCCCGCAGGG